ATTAACTTTATTCCTTATTAGATCGTACATCAATATATATAGAGGGCCGAAATTCGGTGAGAACCACCCTTTATGTGAGATACATACATATATACATACATATATTTATATAGGGTCGAAACTCGGTGAGAACCACCCTTTATGTGAGAGCTCATCCCTTATGTGAAAATAAATCTCAGCCGCTAGATTGTATTAAATCCAACAGCTAAGATTAATGATATAAACCTTCCCTAACAACCACGCTTAATTGTTTGCTCTGTTCTCTCTCCACCACGAAGCTTCAAGGTTTTATCAATGGCGTCTAATTATAATCTCAAACTCGACAATTTCTCTCTCCTCTTCTTGTTACAAGTACCAATTTCCATCGATTATTGAGGTTTGTAATTCTCTTAGTTTTGTAAATTCAATGATCTTAGTTTTATCTTAGCATCAAAATGTACAAAATATTATTCAATTGCATGTTAATCTTAGTGTTTGAAAATTTCAAATTGTTCTATTCTGATTATTTTCGAATTACATAAATTATTTTCGTTGACATTTTGGATTATTTTCGTTAAAATGTTGGATTATTTTCATTAAAACTCAATGAGAAATTTTCGGTTTTAGTATTTGAGAACTATTGAATTGTATGTTAATCTTACTATATGAGAATTTTTGATTTTATTGTTCGGGTAATTTTTGAATTACATGTTACTTTTGAATTTTCGTTAAAATTTCATATTTATGTCGTGAAATTTCCAATTGAATATTCTTATTTTGTAATTTTTGGTCAAATCAGTTAAAGTTAATATTATAATTAAAATTTTTAATTGAATGCTCTAATTATGTTCTTATTTTGTCAAGTTGAATGTTCTTAATCATTTGAACTTAAAAAAAATTATAAAACGAGTAAATAATTTAAAAATGAGAAACCTAAATATGTGTAGTAATATAAATAATTTATAAAGAGCAAACAAAATTAATATGTGTAATCTGAACATTAAGTAATCTCAATTTAAGATTTTCATTAAAAAATTTCTATTGCTTGTTAATTTTCCTATTGAATTTTCTTATTTAACATTAATGTTATAAATTTGATAATTTCAATTGAAGGTGTGTAAAATGAGCAAACAAAATTATAAACAAAAATTGAATTAAAATGATCAAATATAAACAAAATGAGAAAACAAAATAAAAATGAGCAAATATAATTACTATTTTATTGTGTACTTGACTTGTTATTGAGCAAAATATAAACGTAGAATGAGCAAATATAAAAAAAAATGAGCAATTATAATTAAAGCTATGTTTTCTATTTTACTGTGTTATTGACTTGTTATTAAGAAAAATAGAATTAAAATGAGTAAATATAATAAAGATGAGCAAACAGAATTTAAAAAAGCTATATTTTCTATTTTACTACGTTATTGACTTGTTTTTTTGTATTTCTCTGCAGAAATGATTAGCAACAACGAACAACTTAATAGTGATTCTAATGTCAATGTCAATGTGCTAGTTACTCATACAGTAGTAGTTTCTCCTAAAGTAGCACCTTTGTTATGCAGAGGTTTAGTTTCTCTTACAATAGTAGAAGAGATTATGCAGAGGTTGTGGGGAATTGAGTCATCATGATTTTAGAAATTGTCCAAGAGAAAGTGTAGTGATACTTTTAGATACATATTTGATTTAATATTTTTAGCATATTTGATATATCAAACATTTTTTGAATATTCAATTTAATATTTAGAATATTTTTAGAACATATGATATTTTAATTTTGTATTGAACATTATTTTACTGGTGTGATGATTTTTGAATAGATATTTCTTAAGGAATTATTTGTTCATTGACAAATTTTTGTTTATTCATTGTTAATTTGATTTTAAATTTTGTATCATCCTCTTCTGAGTTTGGTGGATTGTGTGTGTGACATTTGCTCATTTGAGAACCTCAGAAAAGGTATCAATTGTATTTGTTGAACTGAATCATTGAATTAGAAGGAATAATATGTATAAATTGTATTTGCTCATTTGACAAATGAGCAAAGTATTTTAGTATTTGCAACTATCAAAGCATGGAGGGTTCATTTCCCTCAGAAAAGGACATGTATGATACTCAAATGAGAGGAACATGGCTTGTAAGTTGACAAATGAGCAAATAATTGTTTCTCATTTGACAAATTAGCAAGCATTATTTGCTCATTTGACAAATGAGCAAAGAATTGGTTGCTCACTTAACAAATGAGCAAAGAATTATACCTATTCTATTCTACAAGCAGAGACATAGAAAGGTTGTTACAAGCAATGAGTAAACTATTAAATGAGCAAAAAAATTAAACAAAGAATTATTTGCTCATTTGACAAAGTAAACAATAAATATTAATTTATGACAAAATGAGCAAGAATTATTTGCTCATTTGACAAATGTTCATTAAATAGTTTGCTCATTTGATAAATGAGCAGAGAATTGTTTTGCAATTCTATAACCTGTAATTTTTTGTAAATATCAATGAAGAAAGATCAACTTTTAGAAAATGTTTACCATTGCATTAACATACCAAAGGTTATAAGAACAAGATTAACACAAACACATCTGTCAAATTTGATCAACTATGGAATTATCTAAGTTGGAATTGCAGGGCAAACACATTTGTCCCATGGAGAACATCATAAAAATTAATACTAATAGGTGTTCTATAAAAATCCTAAGAACATCATAACAATTGCCTAACCTCCTAATCTGCCCTCCTTCCCCTATAAACAATAATTGCCAAAATGTGTCTTCCTAAAGTCAACTTGTCTTATCAACTTCAGTCTTCAATTCTCTACCTTGAATGCTCTTGGATTATTGCCCCTTGGTGATGTTGTTGAGATCATATCACTGACAACTAGCTTTCTTCAGTGGCAACACTAGCTTTCTTCATCTTTTTTTTCTTTTGACATATTTGTTTAACAGATTATTCAATAATATTTACTTCACTTGAAATAATTGAGAACCTATACTTTGAACGAAGTTTTTCAATGATTATGACCTGCAAACAAATCAGAAGTGTAAGGAGAAAGAGAAAAAAATGAAGCAATAAAATGAAACTACAAAATCACATTGCTCATTTGACAAATGAGCAAATAATTTTTTGCTCATTTGTCAAATGAGTAAAAGAATTACCATTACACTCTATATTATGAATTGTTAATTGTACAAAAGATCAGTAATGGCTTCATGCATGCGTATCAACAAGCTGCTCACAAATTTTAGCCTAAGTCGCAATTAGAGTCCAAAGAATAACTGTTCATGAGTTTTAACTTTCACATACAAATTAAAACCTCATTAATCTCACCATTTTATGAGGAAGAAAGAAGAGTTCAGAATCTTTCCTTAAATTCATAGATGTCTGTACTTTAACCCAGAGTGTATACAAGTCTTTGGTAATTATCCTGAGATAAAGGTGTATCTGTTTTAGACACATGAAAGTAATTTGGCACTTCATTGCTGGATTTGGGGAAGTCTTGTACTGTACTGTAGGTTGTAAAGGATCCTAATTCTGGAAGTGTCTAAGGTTTGAGCAGGTTGTGCTATCCAAAACTTGACAGGGCCCAGATGACTGCGCAGTTAGTAGATTTAGCAGCTAATATCAAACTACTAGGAACCCACACTGCTGGCTTTTTCCATTTAATACAATAACCTTCTCTTAATTCCAACTTCTCTTTTCCTAGGAGATGTTTTACTCATGTCAAGCTAAACAAATTTGTGAACAAAGTAATAATCTTGACATGGAAAATGCCTACTTGCTTCTTGGGACTCAATATCATTATATATCAATTTTGTGTTATAAGGGATTGGTGGATTGCAAGTTGTGTAAAGTCATCTCATTATTTGATGTTATTAACAAGCCTAACATCCCAAGTACCTAGAAGATAATCTCGAGATAAAAGGTGTATCTATTACTGAATTCAGCTTTACGGTACCAAAGGTGGTGGAGGAGACCATATCAAAGGATATTGAGAGGAAACCTTCAACCAAGAAAGCTAAAGATTAAAAAATGTTGTGGTCAGGTCGTTCTTAGATCGGGTCATTGATAGTCTTACTACTTACTGTGCCTATAAGAAATTTAGAGTGTGGTAGAGGAGAGCCCTCTCCTTGGTAAGGAGAGGCCGCGACTGGGAAGCCATGGAAAGCCGCGCCCGCGGCATGGGCGCGGCTAGGCATCTCAAGAATTTTGGGAAAAAACTGCGATTTTCCTGTCCGCGCCCGCAGGCTGGGATGCCGCGCCCGCGGGGTCGTGAGGAGCGCCCGCTCCTCCTGGTGGAGCGCCCTCTCCTCCCTGTTTTGCGGTTTTTTCCTGACGGTTGAGTCTTTTATTAAAAGACAAGTTTTTCGTGAAGGAAATACAGAATATTACTCTTCATCTCTCCAAATAGAATTCTCTACATTTTCTCTCAAATTTCTTGCAAACTTTTGTGAGAAAAACTCTAAAATTTTAGCCAAATTTGTGAATTTATCATCTATATTTCGATTCTTTGTGCTAAGAACGAAGTGCTATCTTTTGTATCTCAAAGAGGATTTCCGGATTGAACCCAAGCACCATTGTGGGGGAAATTAACCTCTTAAGGAAAGTGTATACACGCCTAAGACAGAGTATCAAGGTTTGAGACTCAAGTGGTCATCGGTATTCTCATGTTCATGTTCACCTTTAAAGGCTTGGACTTGAGGCAAGTTTAGTCTTTTTCACATTAGTGTTGTCATTGTAATTTCTAAATACATTGATATTTTGGTGCTTAGTTTGTAATACTTTAATTAGTATTTGGTTATTGTATAATTTGATTGGAATTATACTTTATTTAGGTTTTGTTCCCACAATTTTAAAGTAATTCTTTGTCTTTGAATTACTGTAAAACCTAACAATCTAAAGAGGTTAAATTTTTAGAATTTAATCAAGCATTTCTAGTGTGAAAGAATTGACCACAAACTTTGTTAAATTGAAAAAGTTTGACGGTGTGGAGTTTCGGAGATGGAAGAAGAAGATGTATTTTCTTCTTACATCTCTGAATGTTGCCTATGTGATAAGTACTCCAAGGCCAAATGAACATGAGAATGAAACCTTGGAATCCGTTCGGGAGAGGTCGAAATGGGACAACGATGATTTCATATGTCGTGGTCACATCTTGAATGGGATGGAGGATGATCTTTTTGATGTCTACCAAAATATTGAATCTGCTAAGGAGCTTTGGGAGTCCTTGGAGAGCAAGTATATGGCGGAAGACGCTTCAAGTAAGAAATTTTTAGTTAGCAATTTCAATAACTTTAAATTTGTTGATGGTCGGTCTATAATGGACCAATTTCATGAATTGCAACGTATTTATGGTAGTTTGGAACAACATGGAATAGCTATGAATGAATTGTTTGTTGTTTCTAGCATTATTGATAAATTACCCCCTAGTTGGAAGAATGTTAAGCATGATTTGAAACATAAGAAAGAGGATATGACATTGTCCGGTTTGGCCACCCATCTTCAAATTGAAGAAGGGATTCGTGTCATGGAAGGTGCTAAGGAGGGAAATCCTAGCACATCTACCGTTAATATGGTAGATGAGGGAAGAGCTAGTGCATCTACTAGTGGAAAGAGAAAGAATGCCAATTCTTTCAAAAATAAGTCCAAAAAGAAAATGACAAGTAACAAGTTTACTTGTTGGGAATGCGGTAAATTTGGTCACCGCAAGAAGGACTGTTTTTCTTTTAAGAAAAGAATGGAGAAAGTCAAGGAGGGCCATGCTACCGAAAGCAAGGACCCACCCACCAAAGGTAATCCATTTCATGAGGTTAAATTTAATTCCGGTTTGGACTTAAATGCAACGGATCCTAACATTTTTATGGTGTAGGATGATAACTCATGGTGGATTGATTCGGGGGCTTCAAGGCACGTGTGCAAGAGTAAACATTGGTTCAAAACCTTTCAAAAGGTTGTTGATGGAGAAGACCTCTACATGGGGAACAACTCTACCATCAAGGTTATTGGAAGAGGACAATTTGAGCTTGTGTTTAGTTCTGGGACTGCAATTATTCTTAGAAATATTTTGTATGCTCCGAAAATTAGTAGGAATCTTGTATTTGGGCCTACCCTGAATAGTCTTGGCTATAAGATTGTATTTGAAGCTAATAGATGCATAATTACTAGGGGTGTAACATTTATAGGTTGTTGTTATTTGGATAATGGTTTGTTTAAACCCTCTTTGAAAGAGAGTGGTGTATTAGACTATATGTGTTTGAATGTTGTTGACAATGATAATCAAGTTGATTTGAATTTGTTTGATTTATGGCATTAAAGGTTAGGACATGTGAATTACAATAAAATGCTTTTCATGTCAAAGCAAGAATTGATTCCTTCCTGTGATATTTCTCCTAATAAATGTTCTACTTGCATGTTGAACAAGATCACTAGAAATCCTTTTAAGAAAGTTGAGAGAAGTTATAATATTATAGAACTGATCCATAGTGACTTGTGTGATTTTCATAGTACTTCTTCTTTGGGGAACAAAAGATACATGATTACTTTTATAGATGATTATTCTAGGTTTTATTATGTGTATCTTTTGCATTCCACAGATGAAGCTTTAATAAAGTTTGATATATATAAAAGAGAAGTAGAATTGCAAGTGGAGTCATTAATTAAGAGGATAAGAACTGATAAGGGAGGGGAATACTATGATCCAAAATATTTCCAATCTTTGGGTATAATTCATGAGACTACAGCAGGTTATGCACCACAAGCAAATGGTGTAGTTGAAAGGAAAAACAAAACTCTTGAAGAAATGGTTAATTCCATGTTATCTTACTCTTGTTTGGGTGAAGGGTTCTGGGGTGAAGCAATGTTGACAGCTTGTCACATTCTTAATCGGGTTCCCACTAAGGGAAAAGAATCTACTCCTTATGAACTTTGGTACAAAAGAAAACCAAACTTGAAGTATCTCAAGGTTTGGGGTTGTAGGGCAATCGTAAGAGTGCCTGGCAATAAGAAAAGAAAGCTCGGTGAAAGGGGCTTGGATTGCATATTTATAGGTTATGTTGAGCATAGCAAAACCTATAGGCTCTATGTAATAGAACAAAATGACTATATATCGATTCATTCGGTTATTGAGTCAAGAGATGCAATTTTTGATGAAAATCGATTTTCATCAATGAGTAGACTGAAAGATCTACAGATCAGTGCCAACAATAGGGAGATAGTAGAGTTGAATGATCAACTTGAAACTCATGAAAGTACATTCGATAATGAGAATGTCAAAACTCCTCAAGTGAGGAGAAGTACTAGGGAAAGAAGACCTAGAAACCCTCTTGATGACTTTATAATTTATTTAGTTGAAGTTCTAGGGATGTCCTTAGTTCTACTACTCCATATTGTTTCAATGTGGATAGTAACCCAAAGAGTTATAGCGAGGCCATATCTTCTCAAGATAGTGCATTTTGGAAGGAAGCTATAAATGATGAGATGGATTCCATCATGGGAAATAATACCTAGGTTTTAGAGGATTTACCTCCCGGTTGCAAACCTCTTGGTTGCAAGTGGATTTTCACTAGGAAATGGAGACCGGATGGCTCCATAGTGAAATTTAAAGCCAGATTGGTTATCCAAGGCTTTAGACAAAAGCATGGTGTTGATTATTTCAATACCTATGCACCGGTTGCAAGAATTACCTCCATAAGGTTATTAATTGCAATGGCTTTGGTATATAATCTAGTGATTCATCAAATGGATGTCAAAACAGCATTCCTTTATAGAGATCTAGAGGAAGAAGTGTATATGAAACAACCCGAAGGGTTTGTTTTGGAAGGACAAGAAGATAAGGTGTGCAAATTGGTTAAGTCATTGTATGGACTTAAACAAGCACCAAAACAGTGGCATCGGAAATTTAATGACACGATTTTGTCCTTTGGATTCAAAGTGAATCAAGCCGATAAGTGTATATATAGAAGATTTGATGACAAAGGTCATGGTGTTATCATTTGTCTATATGTTGATGATATGCTTATCTTTGGTACAAGTCTACAACAAGTAGAATTGACCAAGGAATTCTTATCCTCATCTTTTCAGATGAAGGATTTGGGGGAGGCGGATGTCATTTTGGGCATCAAGATTATAAGGGACTATGGAAGACTTATCTTAAGTCAATCTCATTATATTGAGAAGATGATCAAACCGTTTAATATATTTGATAAGTGTCCCGTGAACACCCCCATAGAACCTAATGTTAAATTGGTTAAGAATTCGGGGAAAACGATTTCCCAATTGGAATATTCAAGGATAATTGGATCCTTGATGTATGCCATGACTAGTACAAGACCGGATATTGCATTGGCTGTAGGGAAACTAAGTAGATTTACTAGTAACCCGGGTGTACAGCATTGGTTTGCAATTCGGAGGGTCTTAAGGTACCTTAAGGGTACGTTAGACTATGGTCTTATTTATAGTGGATTTCCTTCAGTTTTAGAAGGGTTTTCAGATGCTAGTTGGATCACTTACAAAGAGGATGACTCTTCTGTTAGTGGTTGGGTATTCATGTTTGGGGGAGGTGCCATTTCATGGTCTTCCAAGAAACAAACTTGCATTGCAGATTCCACTATGGCAGTGGAGTTTATTGCTCTTGCTTCAGCTAGTAAAGAAGCTGAATGGTTGAGAAAACTCATGTTAGAATTGCCTTTATTGCCTAAGCCAATGCCACCGGTGGCAATCCATTGTGATTCTAATTCGGCGTTGATAAAGGCATATAGTCAAGTGTATAATGGTAAGTCTCGGCATATTTCACTTAGGCATAGCCTAGTGAAAGAGCTTATCAATGATGTGGTCATAAGTCTTGACTATGTTCCAACAAAGTTAAATTTGGCGGATTGTTTTACAAAGGCTATGCCAAAGCATTCCATCATATTTTCCATGAATAGAATGGGTTTATGTCCAAAAACACGAATTTGTGAAACCCAATCTAACGCTTGAAGAAACATCAAGTCTTAGATTCAATGTGGTTGAATTACATTTTTGTTGTTTGTTAGCAATATTTAATGACCCATATGGCTATGTTACTTGTGATGTGAGAGGTAGCGTCAATTTAAAGTTCTCAAAGATTTAGAGTTGAGAAGCTCTAGATGAAGGTGTCTTGTCACAAGGGCACTTTTACGTATATGAGAACCTACCTATATAAGTTCGAAGTTTAGCCACTTCAAGAAGTCTAGATGGACATATAGACTTTGATGAAATTATGAAAGATACGGACACATGGCTGTATAAAAATGTCAAATGATGATTAATTCGATTTGTCTTGTGTATACTTCACCTTCGAATGGTTGGATATATCCGTGTGATTCAATCCATATGGAAATCATGGGATATAATCATCGTTAAGTGTGTTGTACTAGGTGTCAATTCTATCCAAAGGGACATTGGCATTGATGCATGAGATGTGGCTTAATTGTTAGAAGTGGAGAAAGTTTTAAATACACACTCTAAATGGGGGAGGATTGTTAGAAATTTAGAATGTGGTAGGGGAGAGCCCTCTCCTTAGTAAGGAGAAGCCGCGGCTGGGAAGCCACGAAAAGCCGCGCCCGCGGCATGGGCCTGACCAGGCATCTCCAGAATTTTGGGAAAAAACTGCGATTTTCCTTTCCGCGCCCGCGAGCTGGGATGCCGCGCCTGCGGGGTCGTGAGGAGCGCCCGCTCCTCCTGGTGGAGCGCCCTCTCCTCCCTGTTTTGCGGTTTTTTCATGACGATTGAGTCTTTTATTAAAAGACAAGTTTTTCGTGAAGGAAATACAGAATATTACTCTTCACCTCTCCAAATAGAATTCTCTACATTTTCTCTCAAATTTCTTGCAAACTTTTGTGAGAAAAACTCTAAAAATTTAGCCAAATTTGTGAATTTATCATCTATATTTCGATTCTTTGTGCTAAGAACGAAGTGCTGTCTTTTGTATCTCAAAGAGGATTTCCGGATTGAACCCAAGCACCATTGTGGGGGAAATTAACCTCTTTAGGAAAGTGTATACACGCCTAAGACAGAGTATCAAGGTTTGAGGCTCAAGTGGTCATCGGTATTCTCATGTTCATGTTCATCTTTAAAGGCTTGGAGTTGAGGCAAGTTTAGTCTTTTTCACATTAGTGTTGTCATTGTAATTTCTAAATACATTGATATTTTGGTGCTTGGTTTGTAATACTTTAATTAGTATTTGGTTATTGTATAATTTGATTGGAATTGCACTTTATTTAGGTTTTGTTCCCACAATTTTAAAGTAATTCTTTGTCTCTGATTTACTGTAAAACCTAACAGTGCCCTTATGTAGGTTCAAGCTGGGTATGGGTATGAAACCTTAGAAGTAAAAAATACAACCCAATAAGGTTCACAACAACTATGAGAAAAAAAGCACCCAAAATCAATCATACATGCAGTGATGCAGCCACTCTTCCAAATGTTCCAAGTTTGGTGGACTGTGTGTCACATGTGCTCATTTGAGAACTTCAGAAAAGGTATCAATTGTATTTGCTAATTTGAATCATTAAACCATTGAATCACAAGGCATAAAAGCTATCAATTGTATTTTCTCATCTGACAAATGAGCAGATAATTATTTGCTCATTTGATAATTGAGCAAATAAGTGTTTTAGTATTTGCAACTATCAAAGTATGGAGGGTTCAATTCCCTCAGAAAAGGACATTTATGATACTCAGATGAGAGAAACATTGTCTGTAAGTTGACAAATGAGCAAGTAATTGTTTGCTCATTTGACAAATTAGCAAGAATTATTGTCAAATGAGCAAAGAATTATTTGCTTATTTCATAAATGAGCATTTGAATTGGTTAAAGAATTAATATCAATTTTTTGAAAAGCTGACTAGATCTCTAACATTCAGTAGCTTGTACAAATTATTTAAATTCCAATCCAATTTGCATAAGGAATTTACTCTGAAAATCTAACCAACACATGGCAAATACATGTATCTAACAAAATAACATCAAATTGCTCCAATAATTCACTAGTTACATCAAAGTGCATACATGATTTTTTTCACTAATTACACCAACCCAAGACACACCAAGGCCATTTCATATGAAATGTTCAGGAATCATCATAGGCTATTCATGTCTAGTGATTATCAAAAATAATATTAGTGTACACGAAAAGATAAAGTTCTAAGTCATATGAAAATTAAAGTTTAGGAATCATCATAAAAACTGAATTCAAATTAACAAACTGAGATAAAATGAGCAAACTAAATAAAATGAGCAAATAAATAATGGAAAATGGAAGGAATTCATGATTTTTTGCCAATAAAACCAAA